TTGAGGCGCGCGTTTCAGACTGCCCACAACGTAGTACGGAAGACAAGAATTGCCTTTGAAGATTAATTCACAAAGAAAGGTCAAGAGCTTTTGGCTCGGCAATTCAAATCGTGCCACTAGCAATTAACGTGAGAACATGAAAACAGCATTTATAGTTCTTTCTTTGTTTTCATTCATAATCTTCAAATCGAATAAACAACTTTTTTGAACAGAATAGACTGAGCAAAAAAGACCATCCAAAGTGAAATAATATTAGGTTGTTTGGAGATTAATGTCCGTTTTGAACTTCAACAATAAGTCCATACACTTTCCACTCTTAAATAGGAAAGTACCGTTTGATAGAGCAAAGCAAGCTCTACAAGATGGCGGTCTCGCTCTTGAGCAACAGCTCTGACCCGCCTCGAGTTTCGAGTCAAAAACTAAAATGAATTTAACTGCCTGAAAGATCGAGAAAAATCATAACTCAGTTCATAAGAGACCTACAAAAATTCTAACTTGCTCACATAAGCACTATCCACATAAGACATAAATGTACGCCGTTGCCGCATTTTTTCCTTTGTTACAAATCAAGAAAACGGAAATTTTCATGCTTTTGCCAAAGTGATGCTGTGCGGTTCCCACATAAGTAGATGTGTGCTACAAATTTGTAGAAATACCAACGTGGACTTTCAGCTCTCTACAAGCTTTAGTTCTTAAGAAATATCGAATATGGCTTTCATTAGTTTGTAGCATACATCTACTTATGTGGGAACCGCACAGCACCACTTTAGCAAAAGCATGAAAATTTCCGTTTTCTTGATTTGTAACAAAGAAAAAAATACGGCAACGGCGTACATTGATGCCTTATGTGGATAGTGCTTACGTGAGCAAGTTAGAATTTTTGTAGGTCTCTTATGAACTGAGTTATGATTTTTCTCGATCTTTCAGGCAGTTGAATCATTTTAGTTTTTGACTCGAAACTCGAGGCGGGTCAGAGCTGTTGCTCAAGAGCGAGACCGCCATCTTTAGAGTGCTTTGCTCTATCAAACGGTATTTTCCTATTTAAGAGTGAAAAGTGTATGGACTTATTGTTGAAGTTCAAAACGGACATTGATCTCCAAACAACCTAATACAAATGCAACGACCATGGATGCAAGAAAAGTAAAACAAACGGAGAACAAAAAGCAGAGACCTTGTAGGATGGCAAGAACATCTCAGTTCTTACTATGAGATCATTAGACTCAACGTTGGAATTTCCAGATTGTACGGGTTTTTGCTTCCGAGAACTTCTTCTTCTCAGGCACTGCTTTTAAAATGTGTTTATCAATCCTACAGTAGTACGATTTTGAGGTCAATCCATTGGTCTGACTCAAAATCGTGGTGCTGCTTGCTTTAAGGACAATTTCTTGAGAATGTAAGAAGCAAACGGTATATTTTTTTCTCTTGGAATATTATCAGCAACTAAACGAAGTACTCACACGCAAACCCTGATCAGAAAGTGTTCAATAATATTAACAAACTTACTACGTTGGAAAACTGGGCTCAAAAACTTTTGGGACATCCTGCATATACGGAGGTGTCCCAAAAAATGTGCGCATTGTCTGATCGGCAATAACTCCTTTTTGAAGTCTGTTGCCGATCTTTGAGTACTATTCTGTAGGCTTGCTTTGTCTTAAGTCTATAGTGTAAAGCGGATCTTATTATAGGATTACGTTATCAACACTCGACATGCAGTGATATTCCGCAGTAGGCTGTACAAGAAAAATCCCCAGAAAAACTTGAAAAATTGTGTAGCAGTGTTTTCAAATAGGCTGAATATATTGCAAAACCTCTCACAAGTTTTCTGAGCTTCTAATAACCTGACCACATTTTCAAAGGAAGTTGTTGAAGGCAGTGGCTCGGCAAATCTGAACCTAGTCAAATTTACGCTTGCCTGGGGTTTTTCATTACGCTGATCCCGAAAATCCACTTTTGAAAGCTTGAAAACGGCGAAAATGAGCGTTTTCAATGCCCTTCCCTTTGATATTGGACGAGTGGAGCAGGGCCGATGACGTTAAATCGTGGTAGGACCCGATGGCTGTAGCGTTGCGGCGGGCGTCTCCAATATTGAGAAGAAAATTGCCAACTCGTCCAGATGCGTGTAAGGTTGGCGTGCGCGTGTAAGTTTGAGAGCGATTCTCTCGGCAGGGAAAGCATGCTGTGCAACCGGGATTGCAATGTTTTCAGAGTTGGGCGATAAGGAACCTACCGCGTTAAAATCCCAAGTTGTTGGATTTTGCCGATCCACTGCCTTTAAAGCAGTTTTCACGATTTTTGAAATATGCTTTCGTTGGTTTTTTTTCAACTTAGATTCACAGAGTGGAGCGAATCTCCAACCGCTCTTGTTACTGTAGGATTGCGGTATAGATCTCGATGAAGATTTTAGGTCATCGAAAGCCACACATTTTGCCATAAAGGCAGCGTCCGGGCAAAATTTCGCCTCTCATATTTTTGTCATTCTGAGGCCTTTCCGTGGCCTTAATTACAATTATAAAGTTAAAATTGTCCAAAACCCTCAACCCGATTCCTGGGGACCTTGTTTTACGGGCGCGGACGAGTTTCGGATTGTTTATCCCTTCGGCTTGTCATCGGGGAAGAGCTGCAACCGCATGGGTGCATTTGCAGCTCTTGCGTGAGCACTCGTTCTCAGGGGGAGATTTGTGATACGAGGGGAGGTTTGTGATACGTATCACAGGTTCGTATCTCCTTTTAGAAGCCACTTCAAAGGATCGGACCAACGCAGATCGGATACATTTGGTGCCCTCTTTGCAACTATATGCTAATATGGGTGGGTGGATTTTGGGTGGACGCTGCCTCTAAGAAGAAAACGCACAAGCTGGGAACTCTACCAAGCTTATAATAGCCGCTGATCTCGAATATGAAGTTCGCACTTTACTGCGATGCTTCTTTCCTAAGCCAATTCAGGTAAACAACAGCTGTTTACCAAATGTTTGTTGGTATGCTTCTATTTTGAAGAGTTTCTTTTTACAACTGAACATTCGTAGCAGGGCGAGAATCATTTGCGGTGATCTGGCGGTAGCGAGGCGAGAAATGGAGATGCACTAGAATCCATGACATGTTGCGGCCAAGGCCCGGCACGAGGTGGGCAATGTCAGGCTGAAAATCGTTTTGGATGGAAAGCAAAGGGACATGGTATATATGTTTACATGTACATACACTTTCGACAAGTTGCTACACGACTGACACGTAAAAACACGATCTTGTTCGCGCCTTATTTTCAAAAATCGACATTTTCGTTGGGTTGTGATTAAGTGTCTTGGTTACATCGCTCACAACGATATGGCTAAGATGGATTATAAATAAACATAGCAAGGACGAGCATGCAGTGTATTGCGGGAAAATTATGTGACAAGGTTGTGGCAAACTTTTTTCTGAAACTTCCATTACCATAAAATGATGAAATGGCTCGTTTGCAACGCGAGGTGACGATGTGGTACAAATGGTGTGCGTACGTGCAGTTGGTGAGGAAAAAAAACTGTGAAAAATTGGAAAACTTATGTGAAAAGAGAGCGTGCGTTTTTCATATTAGGTGGTTAATTGCCCACCTGTGCCCACCTAAGGTAGGCAGAACTTCTATTTCACACAAGTTTTTGAAAATTTTGACTCAGTTTTACACCAAAACCTTATATATAGTAACAATTTGGTTCCAAAACTTTTCCTCTCCTTCTTATTAGAATCCGGATTAGCAACGACACTTTTGAGGAAGAAAGCGCGCTAATCGAAGAGCAAAGATAGCTGGCGAGATCAAGTGGGGAATCGTAAAAATCGATAGTGGCAAAGACGGAGTCGTTTTACCGATGTTTCTTTGTCATCCTCGTGCTGGGCCCTGGTTGGTGCTTGAAAGACGAAGATTTGGATGATATTGAAAAAAAACACGAGAGCTGATATACCGCTGACTTCGGGGTAGGAGTGAACGTGCTCATTTTTGTATGACACTTGATTTTAGAGAAACAATTGTCTGAAAAAAAAAACATTTTGGGATTCAAAAAAGGCGTAAAAAGCAGCAGTGCTGCACAAATCGTATATCATTGCAGAAAAGCAATCTCGAAACCCCAAAACAAACTTTGATCTAGGTCAGGCAGTATCGCTGCTGAGCCTCGACTCTGGACAATCACATCTCTAAAAAAGAAATTTTGAAGACCCTCAAAACTCCAATTTTCGAATTTTCACTGGATTTAAGCGAAGCAAGGGCGGGACTTGCTATGTCATGGTATCAGAGCTCGTGATTATGGCGAGTCCGAATCGTCTGGCACCACCTAGATGCGAGAATATGGCTCGGATAGGAACTTTCAGCACCCGCACGCAAGACTGCTAGCGACACCCCTCCAAATGAACATTTTGGATGAGAGAGAAATGAAAAACTTATGAGTTTGAGTTTGAACCAGTGCAAAGCTATATCGCCTTAGCGATTGAGTAACATTGGCAGCTCAAAGTTCTAGTAAAAAGTTGAGGGTTCCTTCCAGCGCTTTCACACTCGCCGAATAAGTGTAACAAAACTGTTACCCTCAGACCTATCTAACTTGAGTATCCAAAGTTTGCACCAGGACTCTTAGAGCCGCCTAGCTCGATTTCTAGTGTGCTCTTCAAGTTCGTATCAAATTAGATCAAATAACTTCACCAAACAGTCCAATACGCGTGCTCGTGATTCCTATAAGCTCCCATACATGACGTGCACTCCACCACTCATGATCCGATAGACCACTGCGAACCAAAGGATCGGTACAGCTTATTTCATAGAGTTCAACATCTATAGAGTTCAACATTTTACTTAAACGAAATCCGCCCGTATAAAGGCTGGACACGGTGTGGGCATCATTAGAAATGTTGTTCCACACTTTCTTCGTAAGTGCTTCTTAGTATCGGTAAAGCTTGGATATGATATCTATAAATAACTGGAACTTCAGCTTTTGCCATTCTGCTCTGCTTCTTATGAAGACTTTAACAATCGAGATAGGTTTGCTATGAAAGAAGATCCCCACCGAGATGAAGTGCTTATCAACAAATTCAAAAAGCAATGCAACCCTCTTCCTTTGGTTAGTTGACCTTTATAGTCCGAATCTTACCTCTTGATAGCCTAAATAGACCGATCCGAAAACGTCTGCAATAAGAAAAGCTATGTGAACAAAATCTTGTGTTTTTTGAATCAAAACTTTTTCACGTTTGCATCTTTTGAACACAAATACACAAATACAAAACACTTTTCAAACATTTTTAGTCATTGCATTCAAAAAAATTTTTTTTTCAGAAAAAAGGTGGACCTGACAAACTCACGAAACTTTACGATTACTTCGTAGATACTCGAATTAATATGCAGAAGAATTGGTGGAAGGATGGAAGTAGTACCCGCATATTCAAAGTCGACATATAGTGGGTTAGAGTAGAACAGCGTATCTATGTACCTCAATCACTCCTTTAGCTATAAGAACTATGAACAAGCAGCAAATGCAATGTTCAATCACATCAACGAGAAAGAAGACGCTTGCCAGGTAGGTAAAGCGATAAGATTAGCGTAAACTAAAATACTGTAACTGTGAAGACAGCTAGAGAATGTCAGTTTAAAGTTTTTCTTTCTTGGCCTTGAACATCGATAACTAATGGCCATCGTGAACTTCATATATGCTGAATTCAAAAATTTTGTAAACTAGTAACAGCTCAGTTAATAAAGCATTCTAGCTCTTCCTGACGAACAGCAACTACAGATGCGCCAGATTCTACAACCGTCTTCTGTGGGGCAGCTACGACGACCTCTACTGCGGGTTCTTCAAGTAGAATCATTACATCTGCTTTCACACGCTCACCCTGCATGGTTTGTCAATTATTAGGTTGATAAAAAAGTTTTCGGACATTTTCAAGCGAAAATTGCTATTTCTCGGGTTGTAATGCATTTACGAACGCGAAAATTTGTAGTTGCGCTCTCACATATACACGGCTTATACATGTGCAAGTGGAAGGAGCTTAAAGTCAACTAGCTGGCTTACCCGGCTCCGCCGTATGTTCCGAATAGAAAATTCCATTTCTTAACCGATCCGGACCAACCAGACCAACCCCACGGGGGTGATCAGCATGCTTGATTACCCCCCTGTGCCAAATCCCAGCCCCGTAGCTCAAACTTTGCAAAAAAAATCGATAAAATCGATAAAAGTAATGCACGATTTTAAAAACTAATATTGTATTCGGAATCCCCATGCTCACTTACCCCCCTGTGCCAATTCCCAGCCCCGTAGCTCAAATTTTACAAAAAATCTATAAAATCGATATCGATCGATACGAAAAGTAGCCTATGACACCCGCCGGGGCCCGAAGTGTATGTGTGCCAAGTTTGGTCCCGATCGGTTCAGAAATGGAACTTTCTATTCGGAACATACGTACAGACAGACATACAGACAGACAGACAGACAGACATACATACATACAAACAGACATTCAGCTTTATATATAAGATAGGGGCGGAGTTTGCCACTTTTCGATTATCTCATTTTTCTTGCTAATTAAGCTCAAATTCCATATAAACCTTGCTTAAATGCATGTGAGTTCATGTCTACTATATATTGGAATATTTGTGAGTGTTACAGGGTTTACAGAAGGTGGAGTTCTAAGCTCTGTCGAAATCCTATGTCTTCAAATTTTCGCCTCTATTTTCACAGGATTCATTAGTCATGGTTGTGATTGATATGGTCTTGTAGTGTTTGCTTTCCTCTATCTAATGATGTACAGCATGCCCTAATTGGTGCTTGCATCGAAGCATTATCTTTGTATAAAGGCAGTGTCCGAAAACTTTCTTACCAACCTAATAGTAACCAATAAAGCATATTTGGTTTTACGATGGCTGTGCAACATCGAAGGTATTTGATTCTTAAAAAAATCTGACTAAAACGTGGCTTCTGGCGGATAACTTCAAACAAGCACATTGCTTCATTTACTCTACGTATGTGCTTAAAAGTGCGCAACATATGTAGTGAGTTAATTTGTTATGTATTAGGTCGTTCTATAAGTTTCTTGCACTTTTTTGATTTTTGCCGTCGTTTTCTGATGGAGCGGTTGGTTTGCGGCGAAGTACCAGTACCATGCGAAAGAACCGACCATGCTCTGCAAGATCCGCTTCTTACTTCCGATGCAAACCTGATGGCCTCTGTCTCATAATTTTTCTAAGCGAAGTTTTGAGAGCGTCATTTCGACATCTACGCTTCCCGCATATGGTCCGTACCCCACAAAATTTTTTTTGCAAGGACACTCGGACCAGCTAGCAGCAAGAAGCTTATATGCTGGCACTGTGGTGTTACCGATATATCAAGAAATGTCCAAACGAGGTCTCAGTAGTAGCTGTTTCCGACTGACTGTGGACGTTTGACTTTCAAGCGTTGTTTCGCAAAAAAAAATGTTCCGGTCTTGTTTTTGAGCCTTGACAATGCACATTCTTTCTAAATGGTGAAAATGTTTAGATACAAGCTCTGACCAGTTTCACCCTTTTCCGGTAAATTTTGACGTAGAGAACTGTCTCATTCTCGCCAAACCCAAAACATCACACATATGACAAAAGTGCGCTTTATTCTTCTCTGTAATGTTTCTCTCGACAAGAATTTCACTTTTGTATGCACCATAATCTCGTAAATAGTTGTCTCCTATCATTCACATATATGTAGCAAAGGTTGGCTCAGCGGTCGGTCTGAGTGCCACGCGGGATGGTACCTCAAACTTGGGTAATCAAACCTTTATCCTTAAAACAGCTATAACAATAACAACGCTATAACAATAACAACGAAGCGATTGTGTGAGTAATGGACTTCTTAAATAACATTCAAATACAAACACAACAGGTGAGATCACTTGTTATCAAACTTGTACTTGTCTCGTTCCTATCCGCGATCTGTTCCTCGGCGGCGGCGCCTCCTTATATAGCCCGCGGAGTCCATAGTCCGCGGTTTGGTCTACTTGCCCTCCTGCGATCTGAAAGTCGCCTTTGGCGACACTCGGGCCTCGGCGTTGGTTTCCTTCATGTTGACAATCTCTCTTCTGAGCCCGATATACTGCTGCTTCAGCTCGTTAAGCCATTGCCTGAGCGTTTCCTTCTTATCTGGCACTGTGCACAGGGCTTTGTGGTGGCCCGAATCGCGAGGCATGAGCCTTGCGGCCTTAGTGCAGCTGATCCTCTCACAGTAAAAACACGGCCTTCTTCGGAACTGGCATCGTCCTGGTGGGCAGGATTCGAGGCAGCGGGGCATAAGTGGGCATAAGTTCTCGCGCCTGACTTGTTCGTAGCGGTCATTGCCGGCTCCTACGTATGGACAGGAATCGGAGTAGTGGTTGTCACGCGCTTTACAGAACGCACAAAAGAAAAGTACGTGGGTTCCGCGCGGTACCTCGCCGTAATTCGGTAGGGGAAGACTTTCAAAGCTTGTTCCAGCTGATCGATTTGTTCCAAAAGAGCCCGGCAGTCTTCTTCTTTTTCTTTGATTCGTTCCTCTTTCTCGTCTTCCTTTCTTGGCGGACATTCGTTCTCCTGGCTAGATTCAGTTTCGTGTATGAGATGTCCCAAGTACTGGTCATCGTCCATCGGTTCATCGTTTGCGGCACAAGATACATCCATCTCGTCGTCTTCCTCTCCAACTGCAGCCTGCTCGACATCGTCTGCTTCGGGGACTTCTGTTTGTGCTGCAGCACTGGAAAGCCCGGGGCGAACTTGACATCCGAAACTAGTGCTGCGATTGGAACTGCGTTCCTCATGAGTTGGACTGGCGATTTTAGTTTTCAGAAGGAAAATCTCCCGGTTACGCTGGGCCAACTTGTCTTGAAGGATCCGCATAATCCTCTTGTCCACCTCCTCTTTCCTATCCGCTGTGGAGCGAAGGTTGCCCTCCGCGATTTGGCGTCGCTTTTCGATCCTTCTAATGAGCTCTTTTATTCCTTCCATTTGTGCGCTAATCTCTCGGAAGTCGCAGTAGTAATCACTTTCTCCTTGGCCTTTCTCGTGGCTAAGGGCGTAGCATTTGTTAAGCAGCGAAAACCGCGTGCACAACGCCAGATAACGTTCTTTGTTCACTTTTGCCGCGAGGTGTAGTCTACTAGCAACAATCAGCTGTTCGCGTGGATCCCCTTCGAAGACTTGTTTATCCTTGAGATGTTCGTAGTCTTCTCTAATCGCCACTGCGGTAGCTATCTGTCGCGAAAGAGCTTTTTTTGTCCGCTTCATGTGCTCCTCCAATTCGGTTTTCGAGTGACTGTCCGAGATGATAGCTAGGCGTCGAACATCGTCAACCATTTTTCCAAAGGACATACTGAAATTAGATAGTATGAATTTACTATGTATGGTATAGATAAAATTCCAACTTGTTTCGCGGCACTTGTTTCTAATATACGCTTTTTCAATCACTTGTGTGAGTGTGTACCTGTTGGAGCACGAAGTTGCTGGAAATGTGTTTCGTGAAAGCCATGCTCCCCGTGTTTGGACCCATATATGTTCAAATGTGTTATAAGCGTAAAATGACGTGCGCGTCTTTGACAAAAGTAGAGGTAGCTCTATAGTTGTGGTGGAGGCTTTCGACAAGAGTACTTGTTGCGAGAAGCTAGACGTACATAGAATGGTTGCGCATAGGGTGATAAGTGAAGAAAGCCGAAGATTTGAAGTGTTACTTTCTCTGCTACGTTGTTCTCTTTCCCGAGACCTCAAGTTGTGCTTGCAATTTGATGGTTCTTTTTGAGTTCGCTCTCTTTTTTGCTCACTCTCCCCTGCAGTTCTGTCCTCTAACTCTAGAGGTACCAAGAGATTTACAGGTCTGCGTATCTGTTTTTTGGATGGTATGATCACAACGGCTTCTCTTTCTTGTCCGTCTCTGCTCTTCAATAGCTATATAATGCGTCCCATCCTCCAGGAATGCCTTGGTTGTACGGGGTCTGTGATCAAGACGCAGTCATCTTTTTGTGGATGCGAAATGGACTTGTTATGACCAACTTGCAACTTGTGTTTTTCACGAAGTGCCGTCAGATGCTGTGTCTGCCAAAGGTTCCAAAACTTGTTTGTGGACTTGTAGGAACTTTCTAGCGCTTGGATTGTCTGCGATTTTGTGCGAAGGGCAAGTTGTTTTTCGGATGAGAGATAAGGTGGTGTGAAGAGTGACCATGTCAAATGGGTAGTCCAGTATAATCTTATTTTGTACGAAGTCGATGGGCCTTATGATCGTCTCGTTGCACGTGTCTGAACTCATGTAGACCAGCGGCCTTGTGTTCAGTAAGGCTTCGATCTCGACCAGCGTTGTTGACATCTCTTCAAATGTGGGAGTCGAGTTTTTCAGAGTCTTGTAGAGAGATTGCTTGACTGTTTTTATCAGTCTTTCGTAAAATCCTCCTTGCCACTGCGAAGGGTGTAATGTGTTTCCATTCAATTTCGCGATTGCTCATTTCTCTTGAAATTGTGGCGTCGTTTTGCAGATTTTTGGTACAGTCTGCCAAAATTTCCTCTCCTAAAAGAAATGTGGGAGCGTTGTCACTTGTGATGGTTTTTGGAACTCCTCTTCTTCCAAAGAATCTGCGCAGCATGTTCAGGAATGCAGTAGTGAAGAGGTCGGACACAACATCTAAATGAATAAGTCTGGTTACCATGCAGGTGATGATAGCCCCGTAGCATCTACTTGTGATGTTTTCCTGGGCTTTCACCGTTAGACGACCAAAGTAATTCAGTCCAACATGTTGGAAGGGGCTTGATTGTTGTACCCTGACTTGTGGCAGATCAGTCTGATTCGGATACTTTACGGGCGGTTATTATAACGTTGGCATTC